TGGTGTAGTATTTGCACAGAACCTACTCACATCCTCCTGTACATTTAAATCATCTCCAGATTACATATCTAATATAAGTGCTATGTAAATAGCTGTTCTACAGTATTTAGAGAATAATGACAAGAAAAAGATCTGTGCAATTTGGAGAATATTTTTAATCTCTGGTTGAAAATGCAGATGTGAAATCCATAGACATCAGACTATATACTGTCCTTCCTTGAAAATGTTAGCTCCTGGTTTTCTCTTTCCACCCATTTACATTATTTTATCTTCCAAAAAGATAACCCATGTACAACATGTTCTGGCCTCTTCATTCCTTGATCTCACTTCTTGTGGACTTTTCGCCCAACTTCCATTGGGTACTTTCGTCATACTTCATACTCTACATCGCTAGACTGCTGTCTCTAGTCCAATTACCTACTAGTTCTGCCTTGGCATTCTTGAACTCTCCTATCCATCAAGATTTGCTACCCTATTGCTTCCTAATCATAGCAATAATCATTACCTATGTCCGCTGGCTTTGTTATTGTATGAAATACCTGAGATAATCAACTTACAAAGAGAAAAAAGTTTATTTTGGCTCAAAATTTTAGGTTTCAGTTCTGTGATGATTGGCCCCATTTCTTTGGGCCTGTGATCAGGCAGCATATCCCGGTGGAAGCCTGAGGCAGAGCAAAGTTGTTTCCTTCATGGCCAGGAGCAGAGAGAGGAAAAAGAAGGGGCATGGTCCCATTATCCCCTTCAAGGGCACACCCGAAGTGACCTGAAGACCTCCCACCACCACCTATCCCTTACGGGTTCTAGCACCTCCCAATAGGGCTAAGCTGGAGACCAAGCCTTTAGCACATGCTAAAGACATTAGCTTTGGAGACATTCCAGATCCACACTTCGGCTTTACCCAAGCATGAAACCTTAATTCCTCCATCTCTGCTCCCTTTGCCTGACAATTCTTCTCATTTGGCTAAATCCAAATTTTCACATACTACAACCCACACCTGAGCAGCTAAACTGGGGGGAAAAAAAACAAAAACAAAAACCCAAAGACAAAAAACTCCCCACCATCATCTTAACTGGTCTCAGTTAAATTTAAGACTGTAAATCCCCAGTGGGCTCTCCACACAGCCTAGCAAGACCACTGCATGAACTAGCTGGATTAGCTCTCCTCTCCCAGAGACTGAATATTTCAAACATCTCCTCTTCAATATTCAACTACTACTCGCTTCACACCCCCAACAACTAATCATTTCCCTGAGAAAATCATCAGAAGAGACCTTCCTCATTTTTTTCTCATCATAGTCTCCTAATGTTTGTCTCCACGTACCTGTCTTCCCTAGTAGTAACATGATAATTCTCTGGCTCTTAAGGTCACACTTGCCTCTTCCACACTGAATCCCATCCCTGGAGAAATCTGCTGCCATGACTGCTTGTTTTTACCTGTAACATCCCTTGACAATTCTCTCCAGGGAACATTCAGGCCCACCTAGAAGTATATTTGATATCTTCCATCTTTCAGACAATAACAAAGAACCTTGACCTTACATTCCCCCACCAGGTACCAGGAAATGTTACAAAAAYTGGATCTATACCTCCACTTTCTCATCCCTTTCCTTGTGGGCCCAACCACTCTGGTTTCACAAATCCACTGAATTGTCCTTATTAAGTTACCAGGGACTCCTCTAAGGCCAAAACCAACAGTCCCAGGCCTCATATCACTCTACTTTTCAGCAGCATCTGACAAATAATCACCCCTTCCTTTTAGTTAAAAAGAAAAAAAGGAAAAAAAAAAAAAAAAAGCATTCTTCAGGTAACAAACTCATCAGATTTTCCTCCAACTGCCCTAAAAGTTCTCCAGAGCTGTTGAACTCCCTAAGTGACCCCACCCTATATTATGGCATCGAATATGATCATGCATTAATTCCACAGTGAGTACCTCCAATGTCTGCTTCTCTCCTGAGCTCCACCATTCTACAGCCAACTTCCTGCTAAATTATCTCCACTTGGAGTCTAATTAGGAATCTCACACTTAACTCACCCCCTTTAAATCCGTTCCTTCCCAAGTCTCTCATCTCAGTAAATGGCACAACCATTCACTTAGCAACAAAACCTGAGATTCATCTTCGACACCTCTTTCCAACCAAATCCAATCTATCATCACATTCTATTGGTTTTACCTTTGAAACTGAACAGCTATCCCATGACTTTTTATTTCCTTCTTTTTTCCACAGATAGGGATTGAACTAAGGGCTTCAAACGTGCTAGGCAAGAGCTCTACCACTGATTTACATCTCCAGCTATATGCAACCACTTTTAATACCTCCACAATTATCACCCTACTCTAAATCCTAAGGAGACTGTAATTGACAAGGATTTCTATTATGACCACTGTAGTATTTCTCTACACTTCAATGATCATATTAAACTCAGACCAGATCATGTTAGCCTCTCGCCTGAAACCTTCCAATGGCTCCCTAATAATCTCAATGAAGTCAAGGTCCTCACAGTGGCCCATTAAGTCCTAGGAAATCTTGTGCTGCCAACTTCTTTAATCTCATGCTCAGATTTTCCTTCCTCTGCGCACTCTGTATACCACCTCTTTCCCATTTCTGTTAAAAGTGTGCCCTCCACAAAATCATGKTGAAATTTGAAATTTCCAATATAATAGTATTAAAAAGTGGGGTCTTCTTTCAAAAGATGATTAGGTCAAAAAGGATTACTGCTCTTATAAAAGAGCTTGAAGGGACTGCCCCTACCTACTCTGGTCCCCTAAACCATATGAGGATACTACAAGAGATGCCATCTCTGAAGCAGGTGGTGTACCTTCATCAGGCAACCAATATGCTGGTGCCTGGAACTTGGGCCACCCAACCTCCAGAACTGAGAAATGTGTTTCTATTATTTATGAATTTCCAAGACATTTTGTTGTATTAGTCTGCCCCCACACACTTGCTCCAGTCACATGACTAACTCCCTAACCTCCCTTGGTCTCAGTTCCAATGTCACCACCTTCAACAAACCTCCCAAGTCTACCCAGTCTAAAATAGTTCTCCAACTCATGCACTTTTCTTCTCCATAGTATTCAGTGCTGCTGACTGCCAATCCTAATTATTTGTAAACTCCATATTTGTGAATTCACCTACTTGCTAAAATTTGCAACCCTAAAATCAGTACTTGTGGTGCTTCCCATGGTCACTTGTAGACATGTTTAGCTGCTGAATGCACACATTCCCAGCTCAAGTTCAACACTGTGCCTTTGTGTTTCAGCTTTCATACTGTAACCAAGTAATTTTGAGGTCTACTTAGTGCCCTGGTTTTCACATTTTTTGTGACTTCCCTGTTTGAAATGGCCCCTAGCACAATGCTGAAGTGCTGTCTAGTATTCCCAAGCATAAGGCAGCTGTGATATGCTTGACAGAAAATCCATGTTAGGTAACTTTGTTCAGCCTTAATTTACAGTGACATTGGTCATGAGCACCATGTACTAAAATTAAATAAGGTTATCTGTGAACAGAAACATACAAAAAAACATGATCACTGATTGGCTAAAAAGAACATGACCAGAGGGTCAGGAATTTAACCCTGTACTTCCCCTAGGAACATAGTATCTAAGATACGACCTTACTACAAATTTACAACCTTGTATGGCACTCACCAGTAATCTGAAAACATATAAAGTGGGTAATACAAGTGAAAGATGAATGAGCAATTCCTGAAACTCAACTGGCCAATAGTAATCAACCTCAGTATTAATCAACCTCAGTAGTAATCAAGGAAATGTAAACAAAACAGCCAGGGTTGCCCCCTTTAAGCAATTATTAAGACTTTTTAGATGTGGATACCTTTTGACCAAGAAATAAAACTTGGATCTGTGCAAAAATTTATCAGCAATAGTAACTGATGTGGCAAAATTAACAGCACCAAAACAGTAGAGATCACCTCAGAATCTAAAAAGGATGAGCAAAACAATAGTTGTCTACCCAATGTAATATGTAGTTATTAAAAAGGTTGTTCAAAACTATGTGATATGGAAAAATGTCCATTATACAAAAAGYCTGATAGGATTTGGGGGGATATGGGGGATTGATCCCAGGGTCTTGTACATGTGAGTCAAGCAGTCTACCATGGAGCTACATCCCCAGCCCGTAGGATCTAATTTTTATTGTTTATGTGCATAAAAATATGAAAATTTGGTTATTAGCACTAGATATTAAAATGACCTAGTTTTTCCTTATGAAAAATATGCATTACTTTTATAATCAGAAAAAAAAAGAGAAAGCTTAGAGAGTAAATTTGGCAAATAAATTACCAAGTTCTGAGTCTCTGGCAAAGTCCTGTCACCCCTAAACTGTGTGCCACTTTCAACCTGAGTTCAACTCCAATCACTACAGCAGGAACACTGTGCAGGCATTCAAACTTTTAAGGAAACCTGAGAAGTGAAACCTGGAGAGAGCAGCTCAACACTTCTAACCCCTGTGATAACCACTCAATCCCTGCCCCACAAAACTCATTGACTATATACTATTTTCTGTAAAATGTGACACAAGTTGTCTCACAGGAATGGTGAATTTTAATGAAATAACACTTCATATATTATAGAATCCAACATATAGCAAGCCTCATATTAATGGTTATTACTCTCCCCCCAAACAGAACTGTTAGCTGGTGTCCCACTCTGGTTACAGAAATAATTGTATTGGGAATAAAGATGGTATATTTACAATAACATGTAAACATTTCACACATCACAAATAAAGACTACCTCTGCCCTGTTACAAGTCATTTACTGCTCACATAACATTACTCACAGTTCTAGTCAGGTTTCCTGCCATCCATTGTGAGGAGAGGCAGAAGAGATGAGTAGCACTGAGGCATTCATGTTCTCTTCCTCTAAGAGACAGGCACAGGCCCTTCTGAGGAACTTCATTCACTCCACATGACAGCTTCAGTCTGTATGAGCAGTGTTTGTACTCAATCTAACCAAAACTTAAAATCTAGAAATTTAATGCACCCAACTGTATAAATCTTCAGGAACTAAACAATCTTTTCATCTTTAATGTTCTSAAATCCTCATTCTCCCACAAGTACAAAATGAAACCAACAACAAAAACACATTTCCTGATCATTTTTATTTGTAAAACTGATTCTATGACTCATGGGCAGAATCAAAGGTAAAACCTTCATCAGCTTACATTTTATTCAAGATTATAACACAAGGTCAGTGTATAAACACTACCTGAAAATACAGTTATGTATTTCTAAGAGCAATAAATATTACACTAAAGAGTTAACAAGCACTCATCAATTCTCAAACAGATATTCATCAAAATGAGGTAAGTCTAATGTGTCATTTGCTAAAGAATTTAATGCTGAAGTGGAAAAAAATTCATCGAAAATATCAGTCTTCATGGGGCTCTCCAAGTTTGAGGTTCTTAGGGAGGCATTATTCGTGAGTGAGTCTGGATGAACTTCACATTGATTTCCCTTGGTGGGGCTGCAATAATTATGGTCCTGTTTCAGATGTTTGTTCTGGGGAACATCATTTAATTCACTGGGTACTGGGAAAGGGTTATCTCCCATTTCCAAATATCTGAAGTCAGTTTCCCCATTTTCTGAGAGCTCTGTTGAAATAGTTGTAGGGGACAATAATTCTGCTAAAATTTCTTCATGAGTTTGACCACTATAGGAGGAAACAGGAATAGTGGTACATCCAGACTTATTATCTGCAATATCAATTTGATACTGTAGTTCATTTAACAAGTCTTCTATTGATTCACAGTCATTTGGAGACCCACAATGGGGCACGGGTTCTAAATTTTCACTTGGAAGTGTTTCACTTTGAAGGGAAGATGTAAGAGCAGCTAATTTCCTCTTTTTTGCCTTTAGCTTTTTAAGAAGTTTGAGACGAAGTTTATGAATCTGACCTTCAACTGAGTCTCCATGGTTTCCTAAAGAAACACCATTTTCATTTCTGTGAGAATCATGGCTGAGGTGAACTCCCTGGGAGGCACTTTCACACTTCTTCAGAAGTTCTGAAGTGCTGTTCCCACCAGTGTGCGGATGAACAGCTGTGGTACCTGATGGCAGAGGACCTGGTGGAGGACTGCARACTGGAGGAGACTTATCTGCACTCTTTCGAGCTTTCTTAGATAACCGGTTAGCTTTTTGGTTTAGACCTTTAGTTTTAAATCCACCAAAATTATTTGCCCCTTTAACTGAGGGCTGCAAATCAGTTACAGTGTTTCTATTATGAGCGGAAACACAAGGTGGCATAAAAGAAGCACCTCTGCTTAACAGGCCTTTAACCCAACTTCCCACAAATGGTTTCTTCTGATTTTCTTTTGGAGGCTGATTCTGTGATGACTTGGCTATTACGGTTTGAGAATCTGCTGCAGTGTTTTTCTTCAAATTAGATACCTGAGATGTAGCAAGTTGTTCCGGTTTTAATTTCTCAATTTTTGGTGGAAGAAACTGTTTTAACTCAGTCTCCTTCTCAATTTCTACTGACTTCATTCCCTGTACATGACTAGTAGAATGAATACTGTTCATAGATGTGGTAATTGACRTATCTCCTGAATTTGGCTGCACTGACTGTGTGTTCACATTTACAACTTGTGATGGAAAGCTTAAATCCACAAATTGGGCTTGGGTAAGCTTTTCTTTATGTGGACTAGATGCTGAAGAAGCCTTTAGTGATTCTTGAGATGGCAAAGTATTTGCTTTGCCAAGCCCTATATTTTCTGTCACAGATTTGTTTTCTGATGGGAGAACTTTGGAGTTAATGGGGAAATCTGGGGCAGTTTTCTGGATAGTTCCTTTAAGTGTCAAAGGTAAAATAATACCATCAATCAAAGTTTTTTCATCCCGATTTTCATGAGCTATAGCTTTGTCCTGTGGAATAGCATGAGAAACAACTGACGATACATGTGTAGGGTGAGTCGCTGAGGACGTTTCTGCTGAGGCAGCCTCATCCACAGAACACCATGCTGGAGATGCTGGTTTCTTCTCACCAAAAGTGTGCTTGTCATTAGTCTTCGGAAGGCGAAGGTGGGTAGCTTCCTTATCTGTCACATGGGATGATTTTCTTTCCCAAATAACAATATGTATCTCTGAAGCAGGAACTTCAAATTTCTCATGCCTTTCAGCACATGGACCTTTTAAGTCATCACACTCTAGCCAACTTCCTGTGGAATGGGAAAGAAAGCCAGCCATTAGACAGTCACAAACCACTAGCCTAGGCTGACTTTCTTCTGGCCTTTTAAACTGCTATTATCACTGAATATCCATCCACTAAAGGAGATCACTCTAAAACAATGCCTTGTCTCCGGCCATACCACCCTGAACGCGCCCGATCTCGTCTGATCTCGGAAAACAATGCCTTATCCTTGTTACCAGTCTTCTCTGTCAAATTTTTAAGTCCTTATTTGGATGACAAAAGTTACTAATATAAGCAGAAAACTGAAAACCTCAGATAGTTTTCTGGAATAGTTCACTCTTTCCTAAAATACTAAAAATAAACAAAAAAAATAAATAAAATCAAGACAGCTTTATATTTAACTTGGGGGCTTAGAATATAGTATTGCCTAATTTACCCAAGAAATCAGAAAATAGCATAAGTTATTTCATATATATGAATTTTCAAATTAATAAAGTTTATTRCCTCCAGTAGCAACATTTGCTTCAATTCTCATTTGAGTCTTTTATCAAGTGAGAATTGATATCAATATCATTAATATCAATACTAATGGCTATACAAAACTGARCGTATTTAATGTATGACAAAAGAGTTTAAGGGCTGTGAGTAGTCTACAGTAACAAACACAAACCCTTGTCAAGAGTTCATTGCGTAGTTAAAAAACAAAACCAATTAAAAAAAAAAAAGAGTTCATTGCTTACAGCACAACTAGTGGTATGACAGGAAAAGAAGTCATTATGCAGTGGACTAAAGTGTAAATAAGGAATAAGTTTAAACTACTCCTCAGAAAAGAAAGGGAAAAAAGGTCAACTATTAGAAGAGCTATTACCAACAAACAAATAAGTAAATGGAAAATAGCAAATGCTGGCAGAGACATGGAGAAACTGGAACCTTCGTGTATTGCTGGTGGGAATATAAAATAGTGAAGCTGCTGTGGAAACAACCAGTTATTCCTCCAAAAGTTAAACAGAATTATCATAAGACTTGGCAATACCACTGGTAGGAATATACCCCCCCAAAACTGAAAACAGGGAGTCAAATACCTGTCCACCAGTGGTCATAGCAACCATTTCATAAGTTAAAAGGAAGAAACAAATTTAATGTTCAGCCTTATAATAGAAACCTGGCATGCTACATGATGAACCTTGACAACAAGCTAAATGAAACAGATCATACATAGAATGACAAATACTGTGTGGTTCCCACTTACATGTGGTACCTTGAGTGTAGAATTCCTAGAAACACAGAGTAGAACAGTAGTTACCCAGAGCTGGGGATGCAGGGAGGATGGGGGTTAATGTTTCATGAGTTAAAGAGTTTTGGTTTAGGATGAGGAAGAAGTTCTGGAAGTGGATGGTGGTGATGGCTCTACAAAACTGTGAATGTACTTAATGCCAATGAACTGTAAACTTTAAAAATGTTAGAATGGTCAATTTTATGTTATATTTTACCACAATAAACAAATACAAAGCATGGCTGAGAAGTAATAAAGATGACCAGATGGTGACAGGTGATGAAGGTTACAGGAAGGTGTGTTTATTCATTTATAGTTTACATACTACACACATAATGATCTGAGAAAAGCTAACCACAGGTTTGGATAAGTAACAGCTTTTCAATAGTCAACAATTACTTATTTATGCTTTTATTATTGACTTCCCACTGTATATCTCAATACCTATACATCTATATGAAATGAAAACAGACACAAAAAGTAAAATGGTGTGGGAATTCTGACATACCAAATATGTAGCTTACTCTGTTTCTTCAAACTCAAACATGGTATTAAAGCATGATGTCAAACACCACAATATGTAGTATAAAGACGTTTGAGAAATATAACTAACTGTAAGCACCCAAACCACCACCCTATATTTCTTCAAGGGAGCCCATTATTTTAGAAAATATTATTTTAGCAGCAGAAATGACAACACAGTGTTAACACTGCAAAAATATGTTCAGATACAAACACAGAAAGTGCACAGTTTCCTTTCCCTGTTCTTTAAACATATGCATTTATCATTTTTGCAACAAAAATTTCAAATTATGAGGAAAAGGGAAAGTTAAGAAAGCATAAAAGACATCTTTCAGCAACTACCACTTTAGGCCAATTTAGTTGCTAATACACTGGCCAATTTCTAAGATATATCATTTAGTAACTACAAAATGTCATTAGACATTTGTGACTACAAATGTCTACGACCAACAAGGTCTAAGATCCAACATATTAAAAAAATTCCCCAAAGAGAAGAATTAAACACAAGATTAAAATGCTTATTAAAATATAATATCTGATACAAAGTAAAATGAGTGACAAGTCACAGAACGGAAATATGAATTCTCTGATTTACCAAAAAGAAAGCAAAATATACTCAGATCTGCTAACCTCTCAAATAAACAAAAACAAAATCATTTACCTAAATATGTGGTTTATGTGGATATACACTATAAACTCCCTGAATACTTTTTATTCTCTACCAATTAAAACTTTGAGACTCTTCAGCTTGCCTACATCAATGATTTTCTACCATATGCATACCAAAATTACCTGGGGAACTTTTTTAGTATACGTGTTGCCAAAGCAAGCATTCACCTGGGGAACTTTTAAAACAATACTGACATTTGGATCCAATGCCCAAGACTCATTTGTTGATATAGGGTATAGCATGGCAATTTTTATAAGTTAACCAAAYGATTCTTGTATGTCACCAGAGTTGGAAACCACACTGTACCAAAAGTGGATTTCTCATTTCCTGGAATACACCAAAAGTTACAATACTTCCATCTAAAGCCTGATGCAGGRTAAAACTTCAAGGTAATAATTACACGTATAATGTGAGTTTTAGTTTGCAAAGTGCTTTTGTTATACAATTTTGCATCATCCTTCCAAACCACCTCCAAGAAAAATATCAAATAAGAAAATTGCCCAAACAATAGAAAACAGCTATAACAAAGTAATTCCTCACCGAGGGCCTGAAAACACTTTACTGGGATTGAATTATCTTGTTTTAAGACAAAAGTGAACATTTTGAGGAAAACACACCTAGCAGTAAAACTGAACAAATGGAAGGGGGTGAACTTCCAAAATCTGTGAACTGTATTTATTTGGTTTTCCATTGAGAAATTTAGTCATTTAAGTAAAGGCTTCACATTTTAGCTGTTGGCCAACTATGGACTTCAGATGGCTATTTCAGCAACAGAAGGGCTACACAGTATTATGTTTAATAGTTTTAGAAATAGAYATTCACTTTTATTTTGTTTATACAATTATAGCAAAATATAAGGAATATTTTTACCATTATTAAAAATCTTCAGTATGATATACGTTCTTTTTAGAAGTACAAAGTATCTAAAAAGTTAAAATTCCCACCATTCATTTTTCTATATTAAACACAGATTACATGTAACACATGTAATTTAAAAAATAAAAGCAAGAATATTAAACAGAAAAAAAGCAAACTTCAAACCAACAATAGTATCCGATCTCTATGTAAGAAAGAAATAAGAATGTGCATCATATAGATATGTGAAAGAAGAGTTAGGAAGGACACTAAAAACAAACTTTTAACAGAAGGGAAAAAAAGGCAGAAAAATTAAAATCCAAGGGGAGAGAAAAAAAGTCAAAGCATAGGTTGCCTTTTAAAAAATAAATAAACCATCAGAGTTTAGTTTGCATGCCTACTATCATAAAAGAAAACATTTCAATACTTACCATCAGCATCTAAAATCCAAGTTATAAAATGATTCTTTGCTTGGTACTGAATTACGGATGTTGCTTGATAAAGACAGCCTTCAAAATGAAATGCATAGTGCTCCAAGTCATTCTGTGGTAAGCCTTCTACGAAGTGCAACATGAATATGGGAGATACTCTGTGGGGAAGAAGGCAAGAGAAGTCAAACAATTTTAATGCCATGTGTCTGCTTATGCAAGAGTCTAAAGTGAACGAGTCACACATAACACTTTCAAGGCTAACTAAACTGATTTTTCTTGAGCACCTCCAGATGTGTGCCTTAATTAGAAATGAAGAACTTGCTCTAAGAAGTATGTAACACTATCCCCTTTTCAGATTGCTATCACTGACAGTTGGAAGCCATCATGCAATAAGAACAACACAGACCATTAAACAAAAATTGCTCTGTGAGCAGCAATGTTGCTTTGGCTTAAAGAAAATCTCATGGTCGATACTTTGTAAAATTCAAAGGAAAAAGTCCAGATCATTTAGAATTTTCTTTGGCATCAAGTGCCCAAATTATTTACTTTTGTTAGGTGAATAGGCAACACATGAAAATAAGGTACTTAAACCTAAGACAGTCAAATAAATGTTAATTCGGCCTATTTCTTTCTATCATCTCAGGAAGCAATCTATCAAATTACAATTTCTACTTAGAAAAAAGTTTAAATTTGACTTAAAAGATACTGGTTAATTTATTGTAAACTTCAAGATATTCAAAACTTTCAAAAATACATTTTTGTTATACTGCAACATGTCAAACTAGAAAACAGAACCCACAGATGGGCCTCAAATAACTAAATCTAACAAAGCTATCAGGATTTAACAAAAATGTTGAATATYCTTTTTCCTAATATTTAAACAGCTGTCAAGACTTACTTAGCTTATCAAAATTTATTCAACTGAAATGAACTTGAAGCAATGTCCAAAATGTAAGATTATTCATACTGACAAGGGATAATTTGCAAATTATCCCTTGTCAGTCATTTTGTTAAAGAATAATCAAGTCCTCAAAATTTAAGAACCTTAGAAATACAAAGTCCTGAAAACTGTAACACTGAACCCTTTCCCACTGTTTTTAAAATCATAACTATTTTCACTGAATCCAAGACATCAATGATTATAAAGTATACCACGCCATCAATTTTGGGTGGGGGGGCGTGCAGGGGAACCAGGGATTGAACCCAGGGGGCGCTTAACCAATGAGCCACATCCCAGCCCTTTTATACTTTAATTTTGAGACAGGGTCTCACTAAGTTGCTTAGGGCCTCAATGAATTGCTGAGGCTGGCTTTGAACTTGCAATACTCCTGCCTCAGCCTCCAAAGCTGCTGGGCATGACATCAATTTTTAAACATACTTTTATTTCACATGTTAAAATATGAAGTATATGTCTTTGAACTAATACTTCACAGTAAAACTACAGATGTGTTCACAAAGCTACAAATGCAGGCTTGAAGCACCTGCCTCTTTTATTTCTATTAAAAAATTTTAAAATTACTAATATTTGGTTCCCTTGGACTCATACAATATCTGTCAAAATATCTTCTGAGGCTAGTTACTATAGCAATCTCTTTATAATCCTAGACTAGGAAATCTCACCAGTTTCCTGCCTTTGTGTGATTTACACATGGAAAATGTTTTAAGATAATGTATACATGACCACTTGCCAGATTTTTATGCTTTTTATACATTTTAAGCATTCTAAACTACTCTTTTGTAAGTTGGTAAAAGTAAAAACTGCCAAGACCAGTATTCAAGAGGCCTTGGGTTCAATCCCCAATACAACACGAAAAATAAATTGTAGCTGGGTACAATGGTACACACCTGTAATCCCAGCAACAAAAGAAGCTGAGGCAGAAGGATTGCAATTTAAGGTCAGCATGAGCAACTCAGCAAGACCCTATTTCAAAATAAAAATTTTAAAACGGATGGGGATGTGGCTCTGGTAGAGTGCTTGCCTAGCATGCACGAGGTACTAGGTTCAATTGTCAGTACCACTTTAAAAAAAAACACTAACCCCCCCTCTTAGTGAGCTTCCTTAGATATAGTAGGTAAATTTCCCCAAAGTCAGCTTTGAGATCTAGAGTTCTACAAGGCAGAAATTTGATTTTCTTATAGGGGGGGAGGGGGAAGATCAGAGTGATGAAACAAATTTTAAAACATCTTTTTATATACTATTCTCTCTGGAATTACTGCACCAAAGTTATCCAGGGCCTAACAGAGACTGCAATGATGCCAAGCAGAATTCTTTTTTTTTTTTTTTTTTTTGGCAGTACTGGGAATTAAACCCAGGGATGCTTTACCACTCAGTTACATCCACAGTCTTTTTATTTTTTGAGATGGAGTCTTGCTAAGCTGCTGAGACTGGTCTTGAACTTGTGATCCTTCTGTCTCAGCCTCCTGCCACAGGGATTGCAAGCATGTGCCACCATGCTTGGTTAGAATCAGTTTTATTACCATTTCACCTGAACAGAGGCAAACCCCTCAGAATATCCTCCATATTACTTTCTCGTTCCTCACACATGCTAAGCATAGGATCTTTCACTGAGCCCTTCAAACTACTTTCTGTAACTATAAAACTGCATAAACTCCAAATACCAAATCAATTACAATTTTCTTTGTATGTGTTCGTGTGTGTCTGTGTGTGGAGGTGGGTATACAGAGGATTGAACCCAGGGCCTTGTGCATGGGAGGCAAGCATTCTACCAGCTGAGCTATATCCCCAACCCTTCCCTCTGTATTTTAACATGTCTGAGACTGGGATGCATCTTATCATTGATGGCACAGCTAAACAGGCAGCATTTCTTTCTTAATGGCATTTGAAAAGATGGTACAATTTATAAACACTGACATCTTGGAATCAATCAAGTAATATGCTTCCTCCTCCTCTTATTCATTTTTTTCAGTGGGTTCCCTAAAAGTCACTGTATTCTCCTACACACAACTCCAGTTTGTTTTACATTTCCAGCCTCTCAGGTGAGGGCAGAACTCTGCCTCCATGTTTTGTTCTCAAGCTTCTTCCTACACTCAATGCTAGAGCATCCGTTAGAGATGATGCTCAGAGYTGTAGAGAACAAGTTAAGGTTCTGCCTGAACCATGAAAAAACTGGATGGCATGGATTAACAGAACTGGAATCAAAAGTCAACAAGAAATTTCAAGCTAAGACACACTTGCCTTCACCTAACATGGGGCTGATTTCCTCTTCTTATAAGGACCTTTTTTCTTTTAAGAAAAAAAGCACAAAAGGATTGTGTTAACCACTGTACCCAAAGACAGCAAGGGAAATGCAAGTCTCCATTACGCAGAGAGCAGCCACATCTTGCACTAATGGCCTGGAGTAAAAGTTTTTTATTTATTTTCAACCCAACTAATGAAGTAATTCATATTTTATAAAATGCAAATCTAAGCTGGGTGTCGTGGTACATGCCTATAGAGCCAGTTTTTCAGGAGGCAGGAGAATCACTTGAGAATGAGGACATGAGTTCGAGACCAGCCTAGGAATATAGCAAGACCCCCATTAAAAAAAAAAAAAAAAAAAAAAGTTAAAAAATACCAATTAAAAATGTGCATATATGTATATCTGAACTGTAATACTGTAGGCTTTAGGTGATATATATATATATATATATATATGTGTGTGTATATATATATATATATATAAAATATATAATATATAATCTCATTACATTTTAGGTCTACTATATTATTTCAACTATTTTAGAATCTGATAAAAATATTAATAAAGTCAGTTGCAATTCAAATAATTAGAACCAGATTATATTCACTGTACTAAGTAAATACATCTTCAGAAAAATTTAACTGGGTTGGGCACAGAGGTGCACATGTAAAGTCCTAGCAATCTGAGAAGCTCAGGAAGGATTGCAAATTTGAGGTGGGCCTTGGCAACTTAGTGAGACCCTCAGCAACTTATCTCAAAATAAAAAACAAAAACAACTGGGGATGTAGCTCAGTGGTAAAGTGCCCCTGAGTCCAATTCCCAGCACACACACACAAAAAAAAAAAAAAAAAAAAAGAGAGAGAGAGAGAGAGGAAAAAAAAATCTGCTAAACAAAGTTTATAAACTGTTCTTTGGAGTTAATCAAGGATCTTACAAATTAATAAATAAACATTTTCTTTCAAACAATGAAGACTTTAGAAAATCTATTTTCTATATTCCATTCAAACTTTTGTAGGGGAACCTGCAGTTACTTATAAAAAGAAATGTTAAATTAKTTTATTAGACCTGAATAAGTTCAGTACGCACAGAACAGAAATATCTTACTTCTCTTCCTACCACTCCACAAACAAACAAAACCATTAAGACTGAAGTTCATGTAAATAAGTTTTTAAAATGCCAACCAAGGAGAACTAGACTCTTAAAGGAAATTCATTTCAAAAGCTTGAGAAGTAAAATTAAATCTGATTCTAAGATCTTGGTGGTTCCATGTCAGTGTGCTCTGAATATAATTCTAAATAATTTACTTAGAAAAAAATAGCAGATGTGGATCAGACAGACATTATTCACCTGATTTATCAATGGATTCTTTTCCTAATGGGGACATCACATTACAGATGTAGATTATCTAAGATAAGATATTTGAGGAATTTACAAGACTATCAGTCTTTGGAATGCTGTATGATTAAATTACTCACAGTATCGTGATGGACTTAATTATTTTTAAGTTACCTCTAACAACTATATTAAATTTGTTTCTAAATTCCATTAGACACCAACAAACCGAATTATAAAGTAAAAATGCTACAAAGGATTTGTATAAAGATCTTGTCATTTATAATTTAAGTGAAATTTTACATGTGTTCGATTTACTTTTGAAGAATACAGGAAATGTCCACATTACAAATTTTGCTTATAAATCAGCTCAGTGGAACTCAAAAAAACACATTTTACACTGGAATACGTTTTTACCTAAAGGCTATCTTTCCAGATCAGAACATGAATGTTTAAGTAAAGCAATTTATGTATATAATTAAAAAGTGTACGTTGCAAAGTAACCAATTAACAGATTAAAAAAAGAACAGAATGAGTCTATCTTCAATCCTGAGGCTTAAGAAAAAGTAGATATAAATATTAGAAAAAACTATATACACCAAGATGCCTTAAGCAGCCCAGTGAACCAATGCAGGACGCAGACAGTCATGCTCTGCTGCCTTTCTACCCATCTTATCATCCAACGAAAGGGTTTACATAGAGGATCCCTCAACACTTAGATCTCAAAACTTGGCCACCAGAAAGGCAAAATAGGTTACTGACTTCTGGTTGAAGACAGCTCCTTGTTTCCTTGTTTTGCGTCCCACTCAGAAGCTCTCAAATGACAGCAAAGGACAAAAACCGGTAATAATCCAAAAGGGCAAAAGAAGAGAAAGGGCACTGAACAAACAAGCCAATAAATATTCAGGGGACAGCATACAGAGAAATGGCCTCTTATATAGCAGAATGGGTAAAGTGATGACACAGCACTACAGAGCAGGCATGCTGATGAGAAGAGCTTATCCGTCCCGCTCAACTCCCAATTGATATCCACAGGCAACAGATACTGTGGAATATGGGGACGAGGCCTAGGCTAAAAACTGGAACAGGGAGTAAAAAAAACAGGAAGTATAAAGAGCATTCCTATGCACAAGGCCCGGAGAGAGCCAGTACAGTCTGGAGCAAAGAATGGAAGGCAGTAGGAGAGAGGCTTCCAGGAGGGAAAAAAGGGAAGGATTCAAAAATTTTAAAGTATTGAGTGCTGGAAATTTATTATTTGAAGTATTTGGGGAGGAAGACCCACAATATACGATAAAGTAAATGAAAACATTGAATAAAGAATTATAAGAGAAATAAAATATACCATGTATATTGCTTGGCTGGAGAGGGAATAATATATGTGTATTAGTAATAATGCAACACCGAATTAACCAAATACAAACCAAATACAAACACTTGGAGGAACCAAGAAAGGCAAAACAGAGAGATAGGGCCCAGGTGCTGATGCAGGAACTCTCGCTCTCAACTACTTAAAAGGTGAACAGGCCCCGCTGCAGCAGAAGCAGCCATCATTTTAAAATGTCAAAGTAACTACCATCTTAATTTGAAGATCTGAAGCAGAAACTGAGAGAGGGAGTGAGGAAGGGGATTTCCCTGTTTGCCTTCTAAGCCTTTTGGTACTATTAACTGAGAACTGATTGATTTGATTTGGTGACAATCAACCTTTAGGAACAATTCTGAGGAGTTTCTGGTAGATTCAAGGGCATCAAAGGTTATTGATTTTCTTTTTTCTTTTTTGGTGTGGGGACGGGAGGTACCAGGGATTGAACTCAGGGGCACTCAACCACTGAACCATATTCCTAGCCCTTTTTATATTTTATCTCAAGACAGGGTCTTGCTAAGTTGCGTAGGGCCTCAGTAAATTGCTGTGGTGGCTTTTGAGCTTGTGATACTCCTCTGCCTCAGCCTCCCAAGCCATTGGGATCCCAGGTGTGCATCACTGTGCCTGGCACTGATTCTTTATTAATATACAGTTACTGTGAAAATGAAGGCTAAAGAGGATGTGTACATTGTGTGAGCAGATTAACAAAGAGAGACACTGCCTAAAATGAAACTAACCTCTGAGCTTAAAGAGAGTGATTCTGGTAACACAGGAAAAGAGAATTCTGACCAACTTTCCTGCTCAGGACAAATTGAAAAATTGGCACAATATAATAAAGGCACATCTGCTAAGGGGCAGGAGAAAACTTAGATGATGATGAAGAATTAGCAGGCCAAGATAGAAATTTAAACAGATGAGCCTGTGGCTTACCTTTGAAACATCTTGGTTCTTGAAATTATATTTTAAAAATCCTAGAATTCTAGTAACTTAAGAAAATTAGCAGGAGAAAAAAAACTAATGTTCAATATCCATAAAGGGAGAAAAAAGGCAAAGAGAAGGAAAGAAACTAGGAGAGCGGGGTCAATCACCCTAAGCCAGCAGTACATGGTATTTCACAGCTGCTTACACCCATTAAACAGCTGGTCCAGGTGAAATACCAGTGTTCCTATAAAGACAGGCATTTGGCAATTCATAAAGATCTATTAACTCAAACTTCTGAGAGACAGGTTTAGTTGCCATTTTGCACTCTACACACACACAAATGCATATCTACTTTTCTTATTTTTTAAATGATGAGGTAATTTTAACTCACTTTTCCAATACCATTTTTCTTATTTGTGATTTACTGTTGCAAGCATTACATGGGCCAAAATGGGCAGCATTAAGTGGGTGCCACTCAGAGATGACATTTGTAAAGGTGACCAAACTCTTCATACACCTATGGAAAAAAAAAAAGACAAATTCATTTTTGTTAAATTCATTTACATTAATCTACACCAATGTCTAAAATACCTTCATTTGTTTAGTCATACTTTCTTGTTTTCCTGAATCATGTATTAGTGTGGTAATTTTCCTCCCTATTCTTTTTGTAAGGCATCGAGAATATTTAGCATCATCCTGGCTTTCTATTCCCCAGATGTCAGTGTAGCCCCAGCTACAGCAGCCAATGTCTCCAGACACTGCTAAATGCCCTACTGGTGGGTGGGCAACAGAGTCCCTTGTTGAAAAACCACCATTCTTGGGCTGTCGAATATAAAGAACTCGCTGCTTATTAAACTCAATCTAGCTATATGTTACTGACAACCCAAAATGAAAAAGGGTATCTTCTTTCTTTGTGTGTGTGTGTGTGTGTGTGTGTGTGAGAGAGAGAGAGAGTGTGAGGACCAGCTTGTATCCACTTTAATAAGCATTTTTAATTAAAAAAAGTTACTTATTACCAAAAAGCAATGGCTGTTAACAAAAGATAAATTCTCAGAGAAGCTAATATTTTAAATGCAAAGCAATAGAGAAGTATTAACAAATACATCAACCATGTTCTGCTAAATTCTTCACTCTCAAAGGTACTGTTTAAGCAAAGCCTCCTTTTTTTTTTTTTTTTTCCTCTTTTGGTAATGGGAATTGAACAGAGGGGCACTTAACCACTGAGCTACACCCCCAGCCTCTTTTGTATTTTATCTACAGATAGGGTCTCCCTGAGTTGCTTAGGGCCTTGCTAGCTGCTGAGGCTGGGTTTGAACTCGTAATCCTCCTACCTCAGCCTCCTGAGCCACTGGGATCAGAGGCATGCACTACTGTGCCTGGCCAAAGGCTCCTATTTTTAATTTGTAAAAGACAGTTTGTCTAAACAAATAAGTGTTAATGCTTGCCATGACAGCTGCCATTTCTGAGCATGCACTATGTGCAAGGCAAGGCACATTACTACATAGTTTTCTTCCAAACAACTCTTTAAGCAGTCAATGCTGCCCTTACCCCATTTTACAGAGGATGAAAACTGCAATTCAGAGGGTATTGATAAACTGAGTCTGGAGTTCCAAATCCAGGCAGTCAGCAGATGACTGCAAAGGCCAGTTTTTTAACTGCGTTTTTTTAAACCAAAGCCCTTAACTAACACAAAAACCAGCACCACAAAATGAATGGATCACAGTCTTCCTTCAGCTTACATGAAAGTAAGTTCTAACTGTAAAACATTTAATGAATCGTTACTTTAGTTTTTCTATTATACTTGCTTTCACTTTTAGAGATTATTTTAAAAACAAATTGCGAAGTGTCTGGTGGATTCTTCCCTTGAAGTTCTTGAGCTCAGTCAGGATATATGCAAAGATATCATAAAAGTTGCAAAAAGACCCAACTAACTGACCCTTTCTTATGTGTATATATATCATCTCTCTAACTARTAATCTGAATTTAGCCAGGATAGAAATTATTTCTAGTGAGTTCCTAGCACACAGAACATAATGAAAAACTGTCAAAATATTATGAAGATGCACATTCTAGGAAAGCTATGATTAAGCTGATTCTAATCGTTAAAATTGTTTATATATTATTTTTAACCTAGGGAATAATTACAGGACCTTACTCCAGTAAGCAAAAAAAATCTTTACAGTTCAGAAAGGCCTGAGTATGACTCCTAGTTATGTCACTTTACTAGTGTGTCCCTTTGGGTACCACCTAACTTGTTTCAGGCTTGAATGTCTATAACTGTCAAAGAAAGATGCTATGATCTTAATCTGAGTTTTTGTGAGAAAACCAGATGGTTTATACAATTCAATGCCAAAAAACTTGGAAACTGGTATTTGCCTTCATCAGCACTTGCTTATACAAAATTATTCAAGTCCTAATATGAATAACACATTAATTTTCACCCTGTTCTAGTTTTTAGCTCACTGTTTTTGTTTTTTTTTTAAATAAAGACTTTCTGTTGCCTGTCCTCTTCAGAGCATTCTGTCAGCCACAGATCTCTTGTATTGCTCCTTAAATGCCTACAGAGAGCCTCGTGTTTAAATAAATGAATATCTAAGCAATATTCTACTCCCACATCTTTATTTATTTAATAACTTACTAGTGAGTTAAAGAAAAGAGGAAAAGAATTTATCTCTATTGTAATAATCCAAATAAATGACCAACATGACCAGTTTGGTATTCTTTTTAATTTCCAGCCTGCAATACTTTATCCAGGTATCAATGGAACAAGAGTATCATATCAAATGAACACCCACCCTGACTCTTCTTGTGTGGCAAGTATATGACAGCAGAAGAAATCTGCAACTTTTTTCTTCTCCATGTTTCCTCCCAAGTGCCAATCTTAGGGCCCAGAATGTCACTCACTAAGGCTCCTAATTCTCACCTAGAGGACTCAGGGATGCAGAAAGTATGGCTGAGACAGTTCAGGTGCAGGAGGACTCTCATAGGACTAAGAGAAAGAACAGGGAAGTGTAGGTTATCTGTAAGATGCTGCCAGACTCTAAGAGCCTGAGATCTGTTTATATGATTAAAAGACTAAAGTTAATGAACAAAACAATGCCCTAGCTTCCAACAGAGGAGTAAAGAAAACACAGTTTCAAAGAATTCTGAGTGGTATTCTTAGCTGGGAATCTGAAGTGCTTCTCAGTTTTCCCCATGTCCTTCTAAATAAATTCTTGAGAAAACTCCTATTAGCTGGGCACAGTGGCACATGCCTGGAATCCCAGTGACTCAGGAGAGGAGGAAGGATCACTAGTTCGAGGCCAGCCTCAGGAACTTAGCAAGACCTTCAGCAACTTAGTTAGAACTGTCTCAAAATAAAATAAAAACTGGGGATGTATAGTTCAGTGGTAAAGCGCCCCTCGACTATATAAAAATAAAAAAGAAAAAGCCTATTAGTAATCTCTCAAATCATAAATTTTTAACCCTTCCAGTTTAAAGCAGCAAGCAAACTGCAGTTTCTTGCTAAAACGTGTCCTTTTAACCTTAGTAGTAGAGAGAGACCTTAACATGTGGTGGGAAATTTTGTCAAGGGTAGAACTATAGAGGGCAAGTGCTGGTTTAGGGGCCAAAGTTTTATTCAAATTATATTACTCAGAACCATTTCAATAGAATGAATTCATTTAAGGAAAAAAAAAAAAAACTAACCTGTTTTGATACCGGTGCCCACACTGTGAACATTCAAAGTCCCAAGAAAAAGAATATGTGAAGAGCTTTTCAATGTGGGGTTCTATTTTTAAGAGCAAGGGAAATGCGAACACAGGGCTTTCCATATCACCTTTCAAGAACAATAAAAAATATATATATATTACTCTTACTTTAAAACTGCAAAAAGCAAACTCAAATAATGAACTGTTATCTTTTCTCACTGCATTTATAGTATGAATATACATGTATACAGTCTGATAGTTGGAGGGGAGAGTTTTAAAACCATTTTTTTTCCTAAAAAATGCCAGCACAAATTTAATTATCACCTCAGTTGCTTCTGTTTTTCTTGGTGGTAACATTTATGAAAACTTGAGACAAAAACAAAAGATCCATACTGTCTTCTCACATCTTTCTATTATTTCTCATGAAAAAAAAACAATTAAAATGTAACTTGTGAAGATAGTACAGAATAATATATGAATCTGACAAAAATCACTAAAACACCATTTCTATTCTGACCCTCTTTTTCTACATAAGAGGACCCACACACAAGGGCTAAAGGATGAGACTCAATCCTCCCTACTCTTCATTTACCATTCTTTCCAATCTTTTATTCAAGTCCTTTCCTTAAACTCCAGTAACTTTAAGATCTGAATTTTGTTGTCATTAAGACAAAAACTAGGGGCTGGGGCTGTAGCTCAGTGGCAGAGTGCTTGTCTAGCTGTGGGTTTGATCCTCAGCACCACATAAAAATAAATAAAGGCATTCTGTCCATCTACAAAAATAAAAATAAAAAATAAAAAGACAAAAAYTAGTCAATGCTAGCTTCCAGCTTTGAGATCAGCAAGTCAGTTAACATGAAAACTCACACTGTTCTCACATTCACGTATCAATTGTTTTCCTTCCTCAGGGAGCTTAGATGGCCCTCCCTCCCCAAAAGAGCCCTCTTTCACCATCTAGTTCTCCTCCAAGCCTKCGACTATAGCTGTTTAGAACATGGCCAAGAACAGTCACCTTGGCAGGACCACAAGGCAGAGGGTAAGTGCTATTACATGAGCATGTTCTATAAATATCAGTAGGTACAAAAGCTATTTTAATAGTCACCTTTGTAATAGTTCCACTGCTATTTTTGTACAAAAACATATAAAATCAAAACAAAATATTTTTGTAAGTAGAAATACAAATAAATCTCCTAGAAATGAAAAATGTAACACCTTGAGAAATGCAAACTTGAGAACAGTAAAAGTCTGTAAAAAGTTATCAGGCTTTAAATGCTTACTAAGTATTACTGAAAAAGCAAACCATTTATACTTCACGACAACATAAAATCCTCAAATTTAAAATAAAATTTTCAGTGAATCAAAACATCATAAAAGAGCTCAAAACTGTTAATTAGTTACATGATGGCAGATCATTTGAGATAACTTAAATAGCCCCTAAGTTGATCTTTATTATTTTTCCTCAGATTACAAATTTTACTACAGAATATATAATACCAAAACCTCAGTTTAAACTTTCTGCCTAAATTAGTTAAGTGGTGTCTTTTTCTCTAGAATCAAACACCAGTTCCCCAACCCAACTCTTAACCTAGTTTGCATATGTCCCTAAAATACCTCCACTTGCCAAGATGCAAACCTTTCAATGACTCCTTCTGTACAGCTATTCGAGTTTTCTTGTTAATTGCTCATTGATAATAGCAGGCCACTTCCCCTGCCCCCAATCAGGGTTTATTTTGTTTATTTCTTAATAAACAAAAGTTCTAATATATCCTGGATATTACTTCTTTGTTCTATCCTTGCCCAAAAGTTTCAAAATTTAAGGGGTATTTACAAATTTTTTCCATCTTATTTGTAATTTTATAATTTTCCCCACTCTAAAGTAATAAATATATATATTTATTTATTTATTTCTGTCCAAAGTTTTAGAACCCTGCTTTTTTACACTTTGGTCTTTAAATATGCTGMAGTTTCTTTCCAACTATGCTGTGAAGTAGAGACCCAATGGTCCTCCTGTATCAGGAATCAAAATTACTCTTTACATTGACATAAATAAGCAGAAACTATAACAATAGTAGCTTCTACTTWAAAAAAAAAATTTAAAAGTGATGATGAAGAAATGGACACTGGAGGGGGAAAACACCAAATTAAAGAGTGTTATCTTTGTGCAGAGATAGGAAGAACTGGGGAAGTGTACAAAGGGGACTACAGTTGTATTTGTAACATTATATTTCTTAAACTTCAGGGAGGGAAAGCAAAGAGAACAGTATACAATGTGTTCTTTTAAAACAACAATTAGGATGATAAAGGAGCTGATCTGGAAAAAGTTAACCAACATTCAGGGTCAGTACAGATTCTACTTGTCTTTATTACTCTGAAATAAATGCTAATATTTGGAATGACAAGACACAGATGGCAAGATTTTAAAGTGCTCTCTGAAGCAGATTAGGTTTCATTAGTAAGGTTTTAAGTTTTAATGTAGCACCTACCACTACTAAGTAGGTAGAGTATAAATAAGACAGGACTTTACCATCCTAGAAAAGCTACACCTGCTCAGTTATCATGATTGCACACAATAATATTTAATTTTTTTTTCTTCATAGAAAACCCCCAAGGCCAAGGGGGCACAAGAGATGCAATTTGCTTCAAATATAATTATCAGTGATAAGAAGGGTGGTGATTCTGATTAGGGCAGAAACACCTCTTCTTTTAGTCACACCTCAGGTTACCCTTTGGGGGGAGATGGGATGCGGAGCCCCTCAATTTGTATTCAGAGATGCTTTGGAAAAGACTCGTTTGAAATAGGTATTCATGCAAAACTTCTTTGTGAGGAATAGGGTGGATTACAAAGGAGCCTGGTGAAGTTTTAGGGTGATAGATCTATCCTGAATGGAGTGATCGTTATACAACTGTATACATTTAAAAGGTTTTACTATATGTAAATCATACTTTGATAAAAAGAAAAAATATGTATCCCACTGGAGATCCCACCTGATGATAAACGAGAACTGTTCTTTAAACCAAAAGGAGATTATGTCACAGACTGGCATATAGAAAACCTGTGTATTTTAAGTGGAAGGCAAACTCATAGTAAAAGTCTATGAAAAATTAAAGAAAACTAGGGGGTAGACTGTGAGACAAATAAGTAGGTCAAAAGCTGTCAGGTATGGACAAAAGACATTGTTTCTAGATACCATATCTAGGCCTGATGAAATAAATGCCATTCACTGAGAGGAAAAATAGAAGGCACTGATATTTTGCATAATTGAGTAYAGGTACATACTAATACAAAGCACCATACATTATTAATAGAAGAGTTAATACACAAAAATAAAAAAGGGAAATAAAAAGGCACTCCTCAAACAAAACAAAACACCAAACACCAGTGGCTCCTTCTTGTAATACTAAAGGCATGTAGAAAGATCTGGATGGAGACTCTGGTTTCCTTGTTTCACTCTGCTCCCACAAGGCCAAAAATCAATTAACAGAGGACAAAGCAAGTTCCACTCTTAYACCTTTTTTAAAGATGAAAAAGCTTTCCTGAAAGGTCTTCAGCATAGTTCTCCTAATATCCCACTGGCCAAAATTGTACCACATGTCCATTCTTAGAATCCACTGGTAAGAGAAGAATTACTAGACTGGTTTAGATCTGATTCTTAACCCTACCCACATATATGAGCCCCAGCACTGGTATTTACTTTTAAATTCCCTACATATTTCATAATGCACAGTCAAGTTTGAAAATGTTGAATTAGCCTATTGGGGTAAGAACTGGAGAAGCAACCAAGGGTGTGCAGTCTAAATATTCACCTGGCTCTGAGCACTGCATCCACTCTCAAGAGGTAGAACACCAACCTGCAGATTTATCTAAACAGCTGTACACACCAAAGATTCAATCAGTGGTAGACTCCTAAGATAAACTAGCCAGATTCCTGCTCCCAAAGAATCCAAACATCCAAAGTACTAAACCAATATTATACCTCCTTATGATGTACACATTTCTATKAGTTAAGGTACATCAATTACTTACCCAATGTGCATCTAAGCTGGGGCTGCAGTTCATTAAAAATTTCGCCTCTGACTTCATTSAGACAGGTCTCTATCTCTGTGAATATTTTTGAAGTAATTTTATACTCTCCATCTAGAAATACATTCAGAACATTATCATCAAAAAATTTCTCATCAATGTATATCTTTCTACATAAAATTTAAGACATTAATAAAAATGGAAGTTTATTAATTTGTGCAAACAGAGATAAAAGGCAAACATAAAATTACAGTATAATATATAATTCCCTTTTTATTTGTTATCAGCACAGTATCATTAGCATTTACTACCTGAATAAAAATATCACCCAAATAATCAGAGGTCTAGTAAAACATAGGTTGGAATCATTAGTGTTTCAATTTCAGGTTGAATTTTTTGTTTTGTTTTTAAGATTTTGGAATATCTGCATATACATTTTGGGGAGAAGAGCTAAATCTAACCATGAAATTCATTTATTTTTACACAGAGCCTGAAGTTAATTCTGAAAATTGTGTTTTGACTATGACCTGTCACATGAGGTCAGGTATGAAATATTCCTACTTTGGCATCATGTTGGTACTCAAAAGTTTCAGTTTGAGGGCATTTTAGATTCAGATTTTTGGATTAAGAATATTTAACCTTTAAGATATTTTTGTCCATCTCTGAAACAGCCGAAGCTCTCTTTATATGCAATTATTACTTACACTAGAAACAACTTCTAATAATTTACTCCACTTCGTATAACTTTTCTTGAATCTACCTAAGCATTACAGTTTTTATGCAATCCCACATCCTCCTTTGTTCATACAAATTTGCTTCATTAAGCACAGGGAGACTCAACACCATGTTCAGCCAGAGGAAGGAGAAGTTGTGCTTCATTTGTGAAAAATGTGACAAAAATGCATTCTACTGTCATGTATAACTAATTAGAACAAATTAAAAAAAAAACACAGTGGGCTAGCTGCACCCACTGTAACCAACAATCATTCCCCTATTGCTGGACATTTCTTTTTTCAATACCATAAATTTATAGTAATAACATCTTTGGGCACATATCTATCCATATTTTTGATCTCTTTAGGGTTAAAGTCCTCAAAATGGAATYACTGTGACAAGAAACTAGCCAAGATTAATAAATTATTTTGAATATAAGCCTCCATATACATCCGAGACTCTGGTTACTCTTAAGCAACAAATGGATCTTCTCTTGAAACTCTTACAAATGATACATACAGCTTGACCACTCTCTGCTTAGGTGTTTCACTAATGAAAATATCTCGATTGTCCTTAATAAAAAAAGTAAGCATTAACCCAAATTTTTAGTTATTTGATGATGGCAAAAAAGAAAATTTATAATGCAAAAAAAAAGAAGTCGAACATAATTAACATACAGATTGTGAAAATACAGTTATTCTATAGAGTATAACAAATATGAAATTAATTCTGGTATTTAATTATTGCTTTTCATCAATAATTGACTGGACAACTGTCTCAAAACATGTGGAGAAGACTCTGAGATTTCTGCAATTACATAAAACAGAAATAGAAGAAAAAGCCAAAGGCAAAAATGCTTATGAAAGCTGGGCAGGATGGCACACACCTATAATCCCAGCTACTCAAGAGGATGAGGCAGAGGACCGCAAAAAAAAATTTCAGAAGGGTTGGGATGTAGTTCAGTGGTCGAGCCCTTGCTTAGCAACTGTGAGGGTCCTAGTTTTATGCCTAGTTCTAGGAGTAAAAATTTTTTTTAAAAGGCTTATTTTAAAAATTGCAAAAAAAAATTGCAAGTGAATGATGCATGAAAAAATTTAGTTTCAGGGAAACTTGAATCGAAACAAAAATACTCTTTACAACATCATAATTTTTTTTTAACCTTGGGATTAAACCCAGAGCCTCCCACATACTAGGCAAATAGTCTACCATGAACTACATCCCCAGCCCTTAGATTTTATTTTGAGACTGGGGGTTTCAGTAAATTGCCCAGGCTGGTCTCAACTTGGGATCCTCTTGTCTTAGCTCTAGAGTGGCTACTATCACAGGCATGTGCCGTCTAGCTCAAAGCCAAAGATGGCTAGAGTACTCTGAGATATTTTCTTCCACATAATGAAAATAGAACTATATTAGTATAACTCTTCTGGAATAAGAACCGTAATATTCATATTTTAACATCCCTCTTGACATCAATGAGCAATACATTCAAAAAAAATATACATATTTGTCATAATGTGAATCTGAAATAGCAAAAAACAGTAAGCAACCTAAATGGTCCACAGTCAGAAAGCAATGTACAGGATCCATACAAAGGACTGCACAACCAAAGTCACATTTTTTAATATATTAATGAATATGAAAATACCTACAATGTCAAGTGAAGAAAGCATGGTATGATGTTAAATCTGTCAAAGAAAATATATGCATAAATAAGATCAGGAAAAAAATATACCAAGACACTTCAAAAGAAGTTCAATAAAAATGAAGATCTTGTCCTTCCAGACAGCAAGACTTTTAAAAAAAGTCAAAACAGTGTRGGTACAGGGACAGACAAAACTGGGAGTTAAGAAACAGTTGCACATACATAAGACAAACATGGTATGGCAGGATCAACTTGACAAAAGGAGGAAAGCTAGAAAAACAGGCTACACAAATGAGAGAAAAATGGATCTTTACTCCATACCATACACAAATATTAAYTTCTGCTGAATTAATAATTTCACTGTCAAAAACAAACTTTATGATTTTTTCAGTGACAATAATGATCAATGTCCAACTTCCTGTTCTCAGGAAAAGAAAGGCTTCTTTGCCACAACACTAACTCCAAAAGAAAAGCTGAATACTTTCCTGTATATCAAGACAGCTTTTAAAAAGTAGAAAAACAAGCCGTGCGTGGTGGTGCACACCAGTGGCTCGGGAGGCTGATGTAGGAGGATTGCGAGTTCAAAGCCAGCCTCAGCAAAAGTGAGATGCTAAGCAACTCATTGAGACCCTATCTCTAAATAAAATACAAAATAGGGCTGGGGATGTGGCTCAGTGGTCAAGTGTCCCTGAGTTCAATCCCCTGTACCAAAGGAAAAAAAGTAGGAAAAAAAGATGCATCTGAGAGAAGATTCAGCAACAAATATCTAACATAAAAATAGCAACAAGGATATTCAAAAATTCATACAAATCAGTAAGAACACAACRACCAACAGAACAAATAGGGATAAGACACTATTAAACACTTCACAGAAGAGCGAACATATGTGGTCAATGTACACATGAAGGGTCAGATCAAGCTCCTGAAATCTGGAAATGCAAACCAAGACCACAGACCACTTCATGACATTCAAATAGCAAAAATCTCAAGTGTAAAATCACTAAGAGAAGATGTCTTATAAATTGCTATTGGGAGTTCCTGACTGATACAACTACTTTGGAAAACAACTGCCATTATCTGAATGTCTGGACTCAGATATGGTAAATGCATTCCTATGGAATATGTAAGAGAAACTCTCCTACTATCTATACTCCTGGAAAATTATCCAAAATGGTCACAACAACAGTATTTATAATGGCAAAACAAGAACCCACTGTCCACTGACAAGTGAGTAAATCACAGCTGGTCCTCAGTACCTTCAGACTCAACCAACCATGGACTGAAAATATTTGGGGGGGGGGGGGAATTGCATCTGTACTGACTGTACATGTACAGCCTCTTGTTCCCTTGCYATTATTCCCTAAACAACATAGTACAGCCACTGTTTGCATTCCACATTTGTTATATTAAGCAATATTAAGTAATCTAGACATGATTTCAAGTATATGGGAAGATGTGCATGGGTTCTATGTAAAAATTAAACCATTTTAAATAAGGAATTAGCATCCTTGGATTTTGTAATCTGTAGGAGGTCCTAGAATTGATTCTCCACAATACTGAGGGAAGAGTACATTGATATATTTCCAAAATGAAAAATACCACACATCAATGAAAATCAACAAACTGCAACTCCAGGCAGCTTCATAAACCCTTAAAAAAAGGTTCCAGAGGACACACCATATCTTTTTTAAAACATTCAAAATAAACTAAATTTGGCAATTTTAAGAAAAATTATTAAGTAGTAGTGACAAAACACAATTCAGGATAATGATTACCTTTGGGGGAAATGAAGGGCAAGATGGGAGGAACACATAGGTGGACTGAGTATAAAACAATGTTTTAATTCTTCTTGGGTTGAAAAGTAGGTTTCTGAGTATCCTATCAACTTGTGGAAAATTAAAAAAAATATATCCCTCCCTGTAAACATTTTGGAGGGCTGTAGGATTTCAGGTGATTTTTACTTGCTTCTTTATTCTACCTTTCAGTAGTTTAAAAACTTAAAAAAGATTTTACTTTGATGGACTGTGATGACGACTACTACCCTGACAACCACTGCTTCTTTCCCCCTCACAATTAGTTTTTGAAAGATGACCTTTGTGGCACTCATGATGCTGTGGCCGCTGTTATCTCATCTTCATGACACTATCCTTGAGTTTCCTGCTCCTAGGTCTTTATATAGTACAAAACCCTACTGATGGCATCTTTTCCACATGCTTTGAGACAAAACTCAATAACGTCTTTAAAAATTAAGGAGAAATAATGTACTACTACCAACCTTTAACTCCATCCAAATGATTGTTATACAGAAGCTTACTTGCTTGATCATATTTTTCAAACAACCTCCAAAACACAGATTCTTCCTTAGAACACAATTTAGTCACAGTGTTCTTTAACTCTTCCAAGTGTACCAAAGCTGACAAGAGACAGTCTAACCAACAGAGAGCATTAGTATTTTTCCACTGGACACAGAGAGTCTGGAGAAATGACGAACATTTGATCTCCAACGGCATTTCCAGTTCAGATGTATATCCTTCATTCTGAGGAGAAATTCCCCCAGTTTCAGAGACATCAACAGTAATAGGATCTTCTTCAGCCATATCAACATTATCAGCGTCCAAGGTCTCATTATGATCCAAGGAATGAGCAGTTCTAACTGAATTCTGTTGACTACTACTATTGGGTAAGTTTGACAAGATTTCATCATATTTGCGGTTCAAAACTTGTTCTCCATCAGTAACAAGATGATTTCTAGTCTTTTTGGAATTTGCTAAAAAAGGTGAATCATTACAGCTGGTTTCTAAGATCTTTCTTTTTTGAGGCTTATTTGGAATGTGACAATCTTCCAAATCAGGAGAAATTAAATTACTAAGTGATTTAGAGCCCAAAGGATAAATGCACTAGAAAAGAAAAATAAAATCATACAATTACAAAAATTCAAATAAGTAAAAGTTTTACTTTACAGTTTCTAGTTTCTACACTATGAAAAACAAATTTTTAGCATTAATTTAACATGAGAATATATTTATCAATCTAAATTTGAAAAAACTAAWGACAAACACTATTTAATCAAAATGTGGACCCCCCCAAAGAAAAAATTTTCCTAATGAATTAAATCTAAGGTTTAATCTGAGTTATAACTAGGGTAAGATAACAAAGAAAACATATTTTTATGTTAATAAAAAAATCTAATTTCAAGAATATTAAAAAATTTCAACATTGTAAAGAAGWCTGAGGACCACTACTCTTTTGGAACAAACAGTGTAACATTTTAAAAATTGGAAAAGTATRTTTCATTTTTTTTTTTTGGTGGTGGGACTGGGACTGAATCACCACCCATTAGTACTCTACCACTGGATCATATCTCCAGCCCTTTTTGAGACGGGGTCTTGCAGGCATGTACCACCACACCTAACTTGGAAAAGTATTTTCAAAGTTAAAAAACTGCATGGATTAATTTCTGTGTTTCCTATATTTTAACACTGAGTATAAATCTAAAAACATGCTATTTTAGTTCATATCTAATGGGTTGAGAGAAAAATTGCTCAATTTTAACGACTCATCAAATCTAACTGGGCATTAACACAATTTCAACCAAATTCCAAAATGTAAATACATCATAAATCAGTGAATTTTTCTTAATTTTCAAGACCACCAAAACATTCTACAAGATAAATTCAAGAACCTATACACTAAATGCCCTCATTTAAAATATATCTTTTGGAAAGAGATACTGTAGTTCAGTGATAAAGCACTTGCCTAGTATAGTATGCAAAAGGCTAATTCAATCCCTAGCACTGAGAAAAAGTAATTTAAAAAATTAAATGAATAAATAAATAGCATACTACAGGGACACAGCCACATCAATGTTTATAGCAGCATAATTCACAATAGCTAAATTGTGGAATCAACCTAATGCCAATTTGTAAATGAATGGATAAAGAAAATGTGGTATACACAACGGAATATTATTCAGCATTACGAAGAGTATACAAATCAAGGCATTTGCAGGTAAATGGATGAAGCTGGAGAATATAATGCTAAGTGAAATTAGCCAATCCCAAAAAACCAAATGCCAAATGATTTCTGATTTAAGGATGCTGATCCATAATATGCTGTGGGGCAGGTATGGGGAGGATAGGGCAAAGGGGAAAAGGGGAGGGAGTAGAMGGGAAGGGGTATAGGGGTAGGAAAGATGGTGGAATTTGATGGTCATTATTACCCTATGTAAGAAAACATGAAAGATGTGAATCTACTTTGTGTAAAAACCAGATATAAAAAATTGTGCTCTATATTTGTAATATGAATTGTAATGCATTGTTGTCATATACAACAAATCAAAATTAAAAATAAATATATATTTTGGATGGATGTTGTTTAATGATATTCAATCTGTCACAACTCTGACATAATAAAATTATTTCTATGATAAAAAAATTAAATGAATAAATAAACAAAACATGCCTTTTTCTATACAAGTTTGGTAGACCGCTACACTTTGGTGGCCTTCAGTGAACTGAAGAACCATACCTTCTGGTAACTGATGTCCTCATACTGTCAAGTCCTCTACACAGACTGGGCTTAGGCATTTACTACCTTTGATGGGACATTTGGACACAAGATTCACATGAAGGTCTGATAAGCACTGGCCCATTCTTGTACTCTTGGAGGCCCTTCTTCAGTCCCAGCTATCATGCAGTAAGAAGCCCAATTAGTCTCAAGAAAAAGAACTGAGATTCCCAGCTGGTTCCCTAAGCTGAGCTCCCAAACAGCACTTACAGTCAGACATGTAAGCATTTTCAGTCATCACAGCAGATATTGTACATACAAGGATAAGAACTGCCTAGAGAACCCACAGAATCATGAAAATAAAGCCATGCAATTATTTAGTTTTGAGGTAATTCACTTCATAGCAACAGATAAGTGAAATGCACTGAAATCCCTCATCTAGCTTCTTCTATACAGTGAATACTATATTTAAAATACTACATTTGCATAGGCCTGCAACCCCAGCTAACTCTGGAGGCCAACGTAGGAAGATCACAAGTTCAAAACCAACTGGGGTGAGTTAGCGACACAGTTTAATAAAAAAGGATGGGCTAGCGATATTGCTTAGTGGGGAAGCACTTGCCTAGAAAGTGGATGCCCTGGATTCAATCCGCAATACTTGGGGATCAGGGTAGGGATGAAGGAATACTAACTTGACTAACAATTTTATATCTTGAGATTTCTCAAATCCTACCCTATGCCAGGAAACCAAAAACACTTTAAAAATCAATAACAATGCCAGATGTGGTGGCATACATCTGTAATCCCAGCAACCTGGGACACTGTTGACAGGAGGATCACAAATTTGAGGACAGCCTGGGTAACTTAGACCCTCTCTYWWWATAAAAAATAAAAAGAGCAGGGATGTAGTTCAGTGGTAGAGCACTTCTGAGTGCGATCCCCAGAATCACACACACAAACTAAAACTAAAATCAATAGCAATAATTGCATTTTCAGAGTCATAAAAGATTACATTCAAAAATATTGAAAGCAGGATCTCAAAGAGATGTTTGCACACCCATGTTCACTGTAGCACTTATTCACAATATCCAAAGGTAGGAAAACAATCCAAATGTGTGATGACATATATGAACTGATAAGGAAAATGGGGTATTATCCATTCAATAGAATACTATTCAGTCTTAAAAAAAAAATAAAGGAAACCATGTCACATGCTACAACACAGATGAACTTTAATGTCATTATATTAAGTGAAATTAATCAGCCACACAAAAAAACCATATACTGTAATGATTCTATTTATATGAAGTACTTAAGAGTAGTAAGATGTATGAAATATGATATGTCAAGAACTATGTAATGTTTTGAACAACCAATAATAAAAATTTTTAAAAAAAGAGTAATAAGATTTATTGAAATAGATCAGTGGCTGCCAAGAGCTAGAGTGAAGGGTGACTAGGGTATCTGTGTACAATTCAGTTGTGCGAACTCCAAAGAAAGTTCTAGAGATATACTGCATAACCATGTGAGTACACATAGTACTCCTGAACTATACACTTAAAAATGGTTAAGATGTTAGATTCTATAATTTTCTGTCACAATTTTAAAAAACAGAAACAAAATAATTTTTTTAAAAATTATCCAAATACCAAAACAAAAGTCCTTCACCAATCTCAAGCAGTCAAGATCTTGGTGTATATACATACTGCTTGTATCCCTATTTAATGAAAAATAATAAACTATGAGGGTCTTGGGCTACAAAACTTAGTGGCCTGGATAGTTTCCACACTTGCTTTACAAACRTTTTCACTGACTTTTTTTTCTATAATCTCTACTCTCATCACTAGGGCAACCAAAATTATAATTTGTTTTTASCGTAAGTTTTCCCTTTTATAAATTAATACTTTTATATTATCTCTTTGCATCTGACTGTAGTTAGCATTTTATTTAAAATGTAATAACTAGAATAAAGCTTTTTAATTTAAACCTAATGCTGTTTCTCAGTGATTTTTTTTTTTTTTGGAGCAGCTTAAGTAATTTCCTGTTTTTATTCCTGAAAGACAGTAATAAGAAAACATGTTTTGTTTTGTTGTTGTTGGTTTTGTTGTTGTTGCTTTTTTTGTTGTTGTTGTAGTTGGACACAATACCTTTATTTATTTATTTTTATATGATGCTGAGGATCAAACCCAGGGCCTCACATGTGCTAGGCAAGTGCTCTACCTCTGAGCCACAACTCCAGCCCCTATTGTTGCTGTCTTTGTGTGCAGTGCAAGGGATTAATCCCAGAGCTTCTCACATGCTAGACAAGTGCTTTATCCTGAGCTACATCACCAGCTATCATTTTATTTGGAAATTAATTAAGCTTCAGTCAAAGAAATTATAAAAATAATTTATAAATATTTCATGCCCTTTCCTTCTTTTTTTTTTGGTGTTACTGGGACTATTTTCTATTTTTTAGGTACTGGGGATTGAACCCAGGGGCACTTAATCACTGAGCTACATCCCAGTCCTTTTTATTTTTTATTTTGAGACAGAACAGGGTCTCCCTAAGTTGCTTAGGTCCTCACTTACTTGCTGAGACTGGCTGGCCTCCAACTTGTAATCCTCCTGCCTTAGCCTCCCTAATTGCTGAGATTAAACATGTGTACCACTGTGCCTGCCCTTTTTGTTTTGAGACAGGGTCTACATTGCTTAAGGGCTTGATAGATTGCTCAAGTGGTCTCAAACTTATTATCCTCCTGTCTGGGTCTCCCAARTGGACAGGATTACAGGTGTGTGCAACCATTCCCAGCTACTTATGCCCATTTCACAAATGAACAAGTATTTTCTTTGATGACTTAACACTATTTAAAAATCTCTTTATAGCTGAACAAAATGGCACACATCTGTAATCTCAGCTACTTAGGAGGCTGAAGCAGGAAAATCACAAATTCAAGGCTTGCCTAAAAGCAAGATCTCAAAAAAAAAAAAAAAGAAAAGAAAAAGAAAAAGAAAGAAAGAAAAACAAAGTATGCAAAATCCTTTTCATTATAAATCTTTTTTCTTAAAAAAAAAAAAAAAAAGGATTGAATAATAAAATCCTCCAAAATAATGAACTACTCAAAAAAAAGAAAGGTTAAAACATTTTAAAAATACTTGAAAAGTTCCAATTTGGTATTAATTCTAAATTAGTTTAGAATATTAAATTTTTTTTTCAAATTAAGAAACATTTTAACATAAATAAGCAATTGGGCTGGCGTTGTGGTTCAGAGGTAGAGCGCTTGCCTAGCATGCGTGAGGCATTGGGTTCGAACCTCAGCACCACATAAAAATAAAACAAAGGTATTGTGTCCACTCACAACTAAAAAATAAATAAATACATAAATAAGCAATTAAAAGGGGTTCCCACATGCTTCTTMCAATTTAGAGCAAATACATGCAAAATGCTCAGCGGACTCCAAGTTTTGTAGAACTCTTTACATATTATGTATTCAGGGGTCTTATGGACTATGAACCAGCAAACTATCTATAAAAGGCTAAAAAATAAACATTTTAGGGTTTGTGAGCTACACAGTCTCTGTCAAAAATATTCAATTCTGCTATTATAGTGCAAAAGCAGCCACAGATGTTATAAAAATGACTGAGCATAGCTATATTCCAATAAAACTATTTATACACATGAAATTTGAATTTCATGATTTTCATGTGTTATCAAAGAGACTTCTTTTGATTTTGATTTTTCCCAACCATTTTAAAACAGGAAACTCACTCTAGCTTTTTATCATACAAAAAGAGTTTGCTGACCCCTGCTGTAAACCAATCTACTTCACAAAGTACACTAGGCTCATACTGTTGATTGGTAAAAAAAAAACCCAAAAAATTTAAATTAGATCAATAAATTACTCCGGTTCTGTGTGTGAGAGAGAAAAAGAGTTACTAAAAGTTGTACCCAGGGGTGCTCAATCACTGAGCTACACCCCTAGATCTTTTTATTTTGAGACAGGTTCTTACTTAGTTGCTGAAGTTGGCCTTGAACCTATGATTCTCCTACCTCACCTCCCAAGCTGCTAGGTTTATATAGGCATGCACCCACATGCCTGGCTCAACTCCAGTTTTTTTTTTTTTTTTAAACATCTGCACTGTATATTCTTAAAATTCTTGACTATATATTTTCTCCTTATCACCTAAAAAAGAATGCTTAAWATACTAAAAATGCAAATAACATATCCAATCTTAATAGCTAAAACCTACTTCCTGAAGACAGGAACTGCTCTATTGTTATTCTCCTTGGTTAAAGAGCTCTACTGAATATCACTTATGTATTGTTCCAGGAGGGCAAAAGTACTTTCATCTAAAAGCAATAAGATTTTCTCTTTCCAATGGTCACAATTCCACAACTTTAAGTTAACTAGCAAACACTCTGAACATAGCCTGTTAATTAAGAATGAGCCCATGAAAAGCTCCTACAATCAACCCCTCACTGTGGGCAACAAAGTCTACCTCCTGCTCCAGGGATATGCCTCTAGCTATTTTCCCAAACTGTCCCTCAATGAATACAACTAGGATGCTGGTCTTTTTCCCAGCATACTTAAAATTTTAAAAAATTCTTTCACATCTATGCTTCTCCTTCTGTCTGCTCCACTCAGGCTTTTATCACCACTGCTTCACCCAATCTATTCTTCCTGAGGTGTCCAAGGACCTCCAGGTCACTCTAGTCAAAGATGAATTGGGTTGTCCTCTTCCCTGAGCTCTCAGCAACATCTGACAATAACTAACACATTCCCCCCCTTCAATTTTTCACTGGACTTCCTGCACAATGCACTCTCTTACCTGATTTTACTGCTACAAACTTCTCAGACTCTACTGTGGTCCATTTCATCTTCCCAACTTCTTAATGTTGGAGTGGTTCAGGGCTGTTATTAGACCTCTTTTATCCACTCCTAGGGGGACTCTTCTAACTTTATGATTCAGTTAGCCACATGCTCAGGACTACCAAGTGTTCTTCTCTAATCCCAAACTCTCCACATACAGCTCCAACTACTTACGCCACAGATGTTACAAGTCTCAACCTTGATTATTCTGACCTCTCAGGGGTTTTAGCTTTGTGTGAGAACTGGGAACAAAACTAACTAGTCTCCTGGATTCAGTTCTTGCCCATTACATTTATTTTTCAACCCAACAGTCACAGCGATCCTTTTAACACATAAATCAGAATATGTTACTCTTCTGCCAACATCCTTGCTACAGTTCCTCACTTYAACCAGAATAAAAGTCAAGAGCTTATCATGGATTGTAAGACCCTACATGGTTCAGTCCCCAATTATTTTTCTAACTCATCTTCTATCACTCTGCCTCTCACTCAAATGCATCTCAGCTGGTTTCGGTGCAATAGCATAAACATGACAGGAAACCTCTCCTCTCTCGTGGCCCTCCTAGTGCTTGCTTCTCCTAGTGCCTAGGATGGCTCAATACTCTCCACCCCACCCCCTCAGGCCTTTGCTCAAATTCCACTTTCTCAATGAAGCATTCTCCCCACCACTCTTTAAAACTGTGAACAATTCCTCCCAACACTCCAGTTTTATGTTTCTTAGTAGCACTTTTCATCATCTGACATAAAAAAAAATCATACTTCACTTGTTATTGTCTTTCCAAATCTAGAACATAATCTCCTCAAGGGTAAAATTTTTGTTGTTGCTTTATTCATCCCTGTATCCTAGCATTGTATTGGAAAAAGTGCCAACTCAGTGACACTCATTTGCTAAATAAATGCATAAGGAAATTTGTTTCTATGTGTAAACACGCCTGGGATTGTTTTCCCTCAAATTACACCAAGCAAAATATCTATTGCCAATTGTGTGATGTTGCCTTGTATTCCCAAACTGGGCTGTTCATTAGATTCATTCTCAAAAATTACAAAACTATAGAAATATGGGCCAACTTTAATGAACAGTGTCTAGAGGTGAGAACCAGAAATATGTTAATAACATTCCAGATGATTCTGATGAACTGCTAGTTGAGCTGGAATGATTCTGATGAACTGCTAGTTGAGCTGGAATAAACAGGTCTGAAATTAGCTCATTACATTTTCCTTTTTTTTTTTTTTTCCTTTCTGTACTGGGGATTAAGCCCAGGGCCCTCACACATGTCAGGTGAGTGCTCTCCAGCTGAGCCACATCACCTAGCCAACAGACCTGAAATTAGAAAACCACAATCCAATCACAGCTCTGGCACTCTATAAAGATCTTCTATTCCCCAAACCCTCTGAATCTAGGGTGCTTGTTTTGTTTTGCACAGTGCTGGGAATGGAATCCAGAGACTGACTCATGCTAGATAGTGTGCTACCACTGAGGCACATTCCAACCCTGAATATCTTTTCTTAAAAAAATGGGAATACTTATCTTGCAAAGCTTTGAGAATTAAAACATGTACAAGAAAGTTTCATAAAGTGTCAAGTACAGTAAAATGTAGAATATTACGGAATTAATAAGCTCCTATATAAATGTTGTACTGGTGGATACAATTACTATAATTAAAACATATTTAGAGCCTTTTAAAATTTTTAAGTACAAACTATTTAGCACATAGAATAATACTGTTTGGGGACTAATGATTTCCGAAATACTTTTCCAGGTAAATTAGAAGGTAATAACTTTTCCAGTCTAAAAGTTCATAAACCAAAGAGAATAACTACTACATGCTAATAACTAACAAGAACTCCCCACCAAAGTTAAAAAATAACGTATGCAACAACTAAGGAATCCAAATGGAAAAATGACATAAAGAACCAAACAGATTTAGAAACTCAGATTATCTATGCGTTAAAAAGCTACATTCTAGGGGCTGGGGTTATGGCTCAGTGGTAGAGCACTCGCCTCGCACATGCAAGGCCTAGGTTTGATCCTCAGCACCACATAAAAATAAACAATTAAAACCAAGTTATTATGTACAACTACAAAAAAATAAATATATTTTTAAAAATCTACATTCTAAAAATACAAATCAAAACCGGTATGATAGCGCATGCCTACGTCCCTATAACTTGGGAGGATAAGGCAAGAGGATCCAAGTTCAAAGCCAGCCTCTGCAACTTAGCAACACCCTATATCAAAATAAAAAATTTAAAAAGGGCCAGGAATGTGGCTCAGTGCTTAAACACTCCTGAGTTCTATACCCAGTACCAAAAACAAATTGAGTAATAATAATGAAGAAAAAAAAATCAAAAGACTAAAACTTATGTGCTATATTAGATTAATACTTTACCTGCAGATCCTCACACAAAGAGATAGATTCTTGAAAACTAATTCGGTAAGTCTTTAAGGCTTTTACTTTTCCCTTCTCTCTACAAGCGGGGCAATACCCATCTGAGGTAGCTTTAGCTGAATTATAATTCTAAAAGAGAAATAAAGCAATTAAAATGAAAATATTTTTAAATCATATCAAATTACAGAAAGTTCAATTAGAAGTGTCCTGGCAAGATTAAACACGTCAAATAAAAGAAATGCATAAGGTTTTAAATTTAACTATTACTGAAAAAAGAATATCATAAGAATTAAACTTTAAGTGTTAAAAACAGCATCCATTTTATTTGCAGGAAGAAAAAAAGTAGCATCAACTGCCAGGGAAAATGTATGTTCCATATTTTCAAAGAATAATAAACTATAAGGTCTGTTCATATATCAATAAACACAGAGAGGTAAACACATTAAAATAATCTTTCGCCATTGCTGTAAGATTTCCGTGGAAGATACACCATTTTAGAAGTTAATTGGTAAAATTAAAACTGAATTTAAGTGTCAAAAATAGAAGGGGGAAAAAAAAAAAGAACAACTTTGTACTGAGCCAAAAAATAAGTTCACTAACTTTTCCCAAATACCCCACCATGGGGAGTGAAGATACCCCTATATCAGCCCCTGGTCCAATCACTGGCAAACCATTTCCAATCTTCGGAGAATCCATCATTCCGAGTCATTGGCTAATTTATGTCACTTGAAACATGTCAATATCACTAAGGATTTTTCAATGAACCCTGGAAAAAAAAAGTCAATAGACAATTAAATAAAAATTCTTATTCTAAAAAAGAGCTATGATATTTTACAAAAGATACATATTTTTAAGTATATGTTGAGAGATCTATATTCTAGGATAAACRTATTCTAAAATTGTGATCATGAAGTTGAAAATATCTAAATTTATTTATATATTAAGCAAATGTGTGAGGAGAGGGCAGAGAACAGCAATAGGATGTATTTTCTTAGCAGACTCACTTGTAAGCAAATTAAACAAAATTTGTTGTAGACGCAGACACTATTTAAAGCACCCTATATTCACCAGAATTTGAAAATTTAAGTTTTTAAGAGCCTATGCACAAGTTAAAACAAATAAGCCAGCATTATAATGATAAAGTCTCTAAAACMCCCCAGATTCACTGTTATTACTTGACAGGGAAAAAAGAACCAATGAACCACATACATTCCTACTGTTTTCAACCCCCAATACCTCACCAATTGAGAATGCTACCTTTTAAAAGTTACCAACAAAATACAAAATTCATGTTATTTGTAAACAATCTGTACCAGAACTAAAATATAAACACTGCCATAGTACAAATTACACAACAAGCTTGTTGAATGTAGTCGCATGAAACAGAACCATATTCAGTAAAAAATTATGACACGCAGCTCAGAATAAGGAAAAAGTTATTAAAGGCAGTTTAAAATATAGAAAAATCAGATATAAGAAACTTTTAAGTAAGGTAAATTACCACTTGGCTACAACATTGTTAAGTAACTTCAAGCATAAGTTACTACAAAGCCTAAGAAACTACAATTCTACAACAACCATCTTCTGGGAATCAGTGGCTCACAGATTCACTTTGAAAACTGGTTCTACTATTCTGTTCTAGTTGTATAAATTTTACATACCTTCAAGCCAAGGAATAATTTCAAAGATTAAAAAAAAAATTAAGTATCAGTGAATCTCAATTTCCTATTCCTAAACCACAGACAGGGTTTCTTAACTACAGCACCACACTTTTTGGACCAGATTAATTCTTTATTGTAGGTGCTGTCCTGTATATTGTAGAATATTTAGCAGGATCACTGATCTCTACCCATGAGACAACCAAAAATGTCTCCAAGTACTGCCAAAATGTACACGAAGAGATAAAAGTGTCCCATTGAGAAGTACTGCCATGGGCTGGGGTTGTGGCTCAGAGGTAGATCGCTCGCCTATCATGCGTGAGGCCCTGGGTTYGATCCTCAGCACCACATGAAAATAGAATAAAGACATTGTGTCCACCTATAAGTAAAAAATAAAYATTTWAAAAAAAAGAGAAGTACTGCCATGAATGTTACTACAAGGTGGATGCTTGTTATTTTCAGGCTCTTTATGGACAACACCAACTTATGGTCTCTGGCTAGTTATAATCTACTTACAAAAAAGAATTTCAGGGGGCTGGGGTTGTGGTTGAGTGGTAGAGTGCTCACCTAGCACATGCGAGGCCCTGGATTTGATCCTCAGCACATTAAAATACATACATAAGTAAATAAATAAATAAAATAAAGGTATTGTGTCCAACTACATCTAACAAATAAATATTTAAAAAAGAAAAAAGGAATTCAGGGGCTGGGGTTGTAGCTTAGTGGTAAAGTGCCTACCTATCATGTGTGAGGCACTGGGTTCAATCCTCAGCACTACATTAAAAATAAATAAATAGGGCTGGGGATGTGGCTCAAGCGGTAGCATGCTCGCCGGGGTTCGATCCTGAGCACCACATACAAAGATGCTGTGTCYGCCGAAAAACTAAAAAATAAATATTAAAATTCTCTCTCTCTCTCTCTCTTAAAAATAAATAAATAAATAGATAGATAAAGGTATTATGTCCACCAACAACTGGGGGGAAGAAAAAAAAGAATTATAGGACACAGGAAAGAGTCAAACTTGTACTGTCCAGAGTGACTATCAGCCCCAGTTTTGCACCTGCTGATCTGGGCTAGAAACTTGTTAAACTGTATCATTCTAAGGATTAAATGAAATAATGCATGTCAAATGCTTAACACTTGACACATAACAAATTTATAACTACTCCTAGTCCTAATTTCCTAATTGTATTTATTTATTTATTTATTTTTGGTGGTGCTAGAAATCGAATCCAGGGCCTCACACATGCCAGGCAAATGCTTTACCACTGAGCCACAACTCAGGTCCTAACTTTACACTTAACTATGCAGAAACTGTGCAGTGTACTTTCTATCATTCTGCAGCATTCTCAAGAGATACTGATAGGCTAAGTATCTTCAATATTTTTTTTAAATGAAAATCTCCATCTGCCTGAGGGATCTAGGAAACCATTTCAGATTGTTCTCTCTCTCAATTACAGACACAAAACACAAGGAGCCTTCAAATCTTCTGACACTACCACCCAACATTTCAATGAGAACAGCTGGTAGGTTGTGGAAAGAAATAATGAATATTCAAAATCYCCCCCCAAAAAAATACCAGAGATAGGTTCTTCAAGTCTTCTTTCAAATACAATTTACTCTTATATGCAATCCAGGAGTGGCTAATTACAACTTAATATGTCCCTTCACTGTCTTCTATTCAGAAATAACGTGTTCCTCCTCCCCAATCTCAACCAAATTTTGCCATCTCCAGCCTCCTAAATATAGACTAGAAAGTGTGAATCGTTCTCTGCTTTTGTTTTTCTTTTCTTCATGTAGTAAAAGTCACCAAAGTCTGTGGACAGTTCTTTGGAAATGTTTCAAATTCTTACCTCTCTATTCCAATCTTACTCCACCCATCTCTGTCAAAGTGATGCTCCTATAAAACAAGTCTGAGTTTGGCACTGCTCAGCTTAAAAATCGCCTACTTACTGCAGCCTGATTATAGGAAAGTCCATCCGAACACCTCAGAATGACCTAAAGATACTAAGTACTATGACCTCATTGCATGGTGAAACCAGCCTAGCTTTAGGGTCTCCCTCCACTTCACTCTTGGCCCCTTTCTTCATACATCCCTTTTCAATACTTCTGTAAGCCACTGATGCTCCAAAGGTCCTCAGTATGCACCCAGTTACAGCGCAATGAATTTGTTAGTGAAGCTGACCATGAGGATGGCAAAAAGCACCCAATTAAACTTAGTTCACAGTGCTATGTGAGAAATGATAAAACCCAGAGAAACTGTGCTCAAAGGTGCTTGCACCCATTTGAACTTGCCCTTGGGACCAAGTGGGCTCAGCACGTGAACTCTCAAAGGCAAGGCCACCAGAGACTTAAAGGCGAGGAACGGGATCAGCTTTTAACGGCCACCCTGGTACCAAACCCCAGGTGTCCTGAAACAGAGACGGACTGGACARAGACACGAGAGTTTCAAACCCCAACCCTGGAAACCCCAGAGACGCCGCGTTCCGTTAACCCTGCCCATCTCCAAAGCTTCCGGGAGACGGAAACAAACTCTGATTTCTCTTCAGCGTTTACCTCTCTGTGACCAAATAAATCTCTTAACTCCAACTCTTATACCTTCGCCATCAACCTTTCCCACCTGAACCTCGTCCCTGCCCATCCTTTCAGAGTGCCCACTATCCCATAGGGCATCTCAGGTGTTCCTTTTTCCTTATTTCGAAAGCCGAAAGAAACTACTCCCTCTTCTCCCTTACCTGCAATTGGAACTCCCCCTCTTCGTACCGGATCGGTCCGAACTCCACACCACCTAGTTGTTACGTTCAACCCACGTTCCCTTCGGACTACTCCTCCCCCACCGGCATCTCCGCTAGGAAAGCAACTTCCGGTTTGAGTCCGCGGCAAAAAAAAGTCCCCCTTCCTGCTGCACGCGGGGCTTGAAAGGACGTCGGCGTCGCGGGGAAGGCGAAGATGGGAACACTTCCGGAAGGGATCCGCAGAGGCGTGGCTGTCCGCCCTGTAACCGCAGCCGCAGTTTTAGCTGTGGCTAAAACTGACGAGGAGGGGCGGGGCRGGTGGCTTCCAAGCTCGCCGAGTGTGAGTGGCTGGGTTTGGGGAGGCGATGTTTCTGGAAGCTGCTGGAAAGCACTAGAGTGACGGAGGTGACGCCGAYGGCCAGGGGGTGGGGCGTGATTAAAACTAGTGCGCGGCCCGCAGCGGAGGGATTACGCTGCTGAGGAAAGAGAGAACCGTGCGTCTCTTTGCGCCCTGTCAGGGCCGCGCGAGCCGGGGCTGGCCACCCCGGGGGCCCCTGAGTGACCCTGGGGGGTGGCGCAGCAGAGGGGAGGACCGCCATGGAGGCTCTTGGCTGGCGCGTCTCCTTGGTGCCACGGTCGCCACGACGGGGCCACGCCGGGCACCCCTAGTCCGCTCGCTAAGCCTCGGTGAGAGCCGAGCTGCCACAGTGCCTGTTCACAAAGGGTCACCACACACGGAGCTGCCCCTCCCTTCTCCCTAAACCCCACCTTCGAGGCCAGGGGCTTTTCCACCAGGATTCTGGGGTGTTTCTCCTCCTTTCCTCCCTCCCAGATCTTCTAACGGTAAGGGGAGTAGCGAAAGCCCAGGGACGTGGCTCTCCACGACCCGTGGTGACTCCTGAGCAGCCGACCCGTCCCTGCTGCACTGGTCTCAGCTGCCCTGCCTCGTTTTAACTTCAGAGGAAGGGGGAGTTCTCATTGAGTTGATAAGTTGCGAGGCTGCTTTCGTAGGGAGGTCATGTGGTGCACGGGACGTGGTGACCGCGTCTGCTGTTTCTGGAGTCTGCATTCTAAATCTCAGGGCAGCCTATTCAGAAGTACTTTGGGGATCGATTGTTTCTGGGTCCTAGGATAACAGTTTGTAGTTTACTGACTGTCTCTTTACATCGTCACCGTGTTGGGCATTTTGGCGTTTTGGACTGTGGGTTTCTTTCAAGTGCTCAAACGAAATGATTATATTCTGGAATAATGCTGATGCCTTTGATAGGGTGATAGGAAGGAAACAAGTCCCGTGTACGAGGAAATTAGTGACTAAAAGAGATTTTAGTTTGTGGTACTTCTGAATGTCAATGGCCAAGAAATCCAACAAAGAATTGTTGGTTTTTTTCCTCCAGATGAAAATAGGCTGGTTAGGTTTTATTTACTACTTTTTTTTTTGTAGTTGTACTAGATTATTAATGTATTGTGCATTCGTTGTAAAATCTAATAAAAAAATTCATTATTTTGAATTTATGAAAATTTGGAAAAGTAGTATTTCCTCCTGAAATAATAGCTTTTTTCTTGCTCTCCATTGCCATATCCATTTTTAGAAATACAGTAATAAACACTTGCTGAATGTTAATTCAAATTGAATAAAACCAAATGCAAATGTAGTAAAAAATTTGAGATTGCAAAGCAACATCATTGACTAAGTTATGTCAAAAAGCAAACGTTTACAAAGTTGATTTTTATTCTTTGAGTGAAATTTTGATTTTTTTTTTTTTTTTTTTTTTTTTTGGCCAGGAAAGATGTTAATAATGACAGGAATAAAATGGAGATGGATGGGGCTTCAGTTGTTTTGGTTGTGTAATGACTCCAGAGCCTTTCTCCTTGTAGAAAGTTAGGAAAGTCTTAAAGGAGAGGATTCAGATATAGGCGATTAGAAGAATTTGTCTAGAAAACTCCACTTACATTTGTGTTAGAGAGCAATGGTCCCAAATTGGTAAAATTGTTTGTATTTCTACTTATTCCTTAACCAGTGTATTTGGAATGCTCTGAGTACTCCAGAGGCAGAGTGCAGTTACCTTCCAGTGGCTTCAAGCTGTTGCCTTCACTCCCTTGTCAGCAGCATGGAACACAAATTACACTTCTTTATTTCCATTTATAATCTCACGTTTAATACATGGAAGCTTGTTTTTATTATTTATTAATATAGTGAACGACTATAGTAGTACAATGCCATACAATTAGGATCTCCTTTTTTTTTTTTTTTTTGCGCTTCATTTTCTCTCATGATGTCAATTCTTAATAGATTGGCTCTTTAACCAATAAACTTTTTTATCTCAGATCTGGAATATAAAAGCTGCCTGCTGTGATTCCTTGTGTGGCTTCATCCAAAAGACAGAGACAAGTATTCATACTTTTAGCAGCACCCTGCAAGTTCAGTGTCTAATCCCTTATGTAAATCTAATATTCAGGAAGCTTGGAAAATCAAAAGCTTTTGAAGTTTAGAGACACAATTCATCACAAAATACAGCCTGCATTAATGAGAATTACATAAAGTTTTTATTCCATTTGTTTTTCTAAAACAATATTAGTAATTTTGATTGTGGGGTTCTGTTCTCRGTCACTGTTTTATGGAGTGTTAAATAATGGTTTGTGTACCTTGCAACATTTTTAATTCCAAGAAATTGTTTTTGTATACCCCTACCCCACCCCCAGTTCTGGGAATTTTGCACCCAGGCCTCTTTACCCTTGAGCTACATCTCCAGCCCTTTTTATTTTTGAGACAGGATTTTGCTAAGTCTCTGAGGTTGGCCTTGAACTTGGAATCTTGCTTCTGCCTCAGCTTCCTGAATTCCCTGGCATTACAGGTATGAGCCACTGTGCCACCAGGCAAAAATTCTTAACACACCTAACTAATCTAATTTCTGAAATACAGCTAACTCTTGCATGTGAGGAATTTTGAAACTATTGCTTGTCAGTAAAGTTGTGCTAGGCATTGCATATTTCAAAACTTAACTTTAAGGGCTGGGGTTGCACATGTGAGACGCTGGGTTTGATCCTCAGCACCACATAAAAATAAACAAATAAAATAAAGGTATAGTGCCCAATTATAACTAAAAAAAAATTTAAAAAATACTTGAGACATTTTAGTATTTGTCCTCAGTGATTTGATTTGTTAGAAGGGAACATGCATTTATTTATTCTGCTCTATAAGTGCAATTATAGAGAAAAGCACAAACTGTAAGTGTAGCCATTTAGTGATCCAAACAAGAAATTATTAATCCCAGGATTTAAGGTTGTTTTATACTTTAAACTCTAAAATTTAGATAAAACCTGACAACTTATAATGTAGCCCAAATTTACTTTTTTCCCACACAAAATGAAGACAGTATGATAAAGAGTCTTACAACATATTTTGGAATATCTGATTTCTATTCCAGAGTATCTATGTGACCTTACACAGGTCACTTAATTCTGAAGGCCTTGGTTTACAGATTATAAAATGAGAAGTCTGAAATAGATGGACTTCTTAGAAAGGTCTTTTATAGTTCCACCATTATACCTGCAGATATTTACTTTTTAAAAAGTGTTTCCCACTCAGGACATGATCCCATTTCACCATAAAGTGCTATCTTATTACTCTAAATTTGTTGTGTTGTTTTGGGTTGGTAGTATATTCGTATGGTTCAAAATTCAAAAGTGTATGCAGTGAAAAGTCTCCCTACCACACCTGTTCCTCAGTTACCCAGTTCCCTGCCTAGGAAGCAACAAAGGCTAACAGTTTCTTGTATATTTTTTTAATTATGCATATACAAGCAAATAAGTACTATTGGTGTTTATTTACCCCTCTTTTGACATAAGTGATATATACAATGCATGCTGAAATACCTTTGTTCACATATCTTAGTTACTGTTCTCTATTACTTAGCAAGCAGTTTGTTGTTTTTATGGCTGCATAATATTCCATTAAGCTTTTTCATTATTTCATCAGTCCTCTCCCCTTTTGGATATTGAAGGTTTTTTTTTTTTAATCTTTATTAAAAAGTATTGTGCAATGAATTACATTGTATATTCACCTTTTTCCACCTATGTGAATATATCTGTGCCATTAATAGTGGCACAGATGCATCCCCTATGTCGTAGTGGGATAATGGAGTCAATGTCCTGTTAGTTCTAAAGTAAGCAAAAAGACCTTGGGTTTGATCCCCCAGCACCACAAAAATAAATAAATAAATAAATAACCTGAAGTAAGACTAGATATATGAAGTCACATTACCTGAAGGACTGCTTCTACATTTAATCTCTAGAGGAAATAGGTGGTTTGTGTTCAGGGACAAACACAAATCTTTAAACATTAAAATCATTCAGCACAGCAAGATTTTCAACAAGAAACATATGAAAACAGACTGACTTCTGTGCTTCCAAACCAATGCTTATTCCAAAGTATATGCTATTTAAACTTATTTTTTCTTATACATTTGGCTAAACATGTAGTTAAATTTGTCTATGATGCAACTGCTGTGCATTGTCATTTTACCAATAAGAAAACACCTAAAAGAAGTAAACAGTTTACCCAAATTTACCCAACACAGTGGCAGACCTGGGACTAACACCCAAACCTTCTAATTTCTTTCTTTCTTTTTTTTTTTCAGTTTTTTTTTTTTTTAGTTTTATTGATTTTTTTAAATACACAACAGTGGAATRCATTACGGTTCTTATTACACATATAGAGTACATTTTATTTCTAATCTCAGACTATTCCAACATATCATCCACCTTCGTAATTAAGTGGGTAGCTTCAGCCGTAGACCTGATCTGAGAATGCTCAGTGGTTAGGGACTGCTTTAGGTACATTTTTCTCTTCTTAGACCTTAGACTAACCTAGAGTTCAGAAAGCAGCAGTACATTTTTCTAGCAACAAAATGACATTCTATAAGTACTTTTTGAAGTAATCACACAACATGCTGATTAGCAATCARGAGGCCTCCCAATCAAAAAATTAAGCTTATATAGAGAAGCATTCCTAATTGAAACATAGTTGTCAATTCAAAATGAATTTATCAGTCATAAGGACTGAAAGGAATTTAGGATTATTTGGAAATGGGTAGTCTGAAATTCCCCAGAGTTCATG